CAGTTGCCTGTAGAAAGCCTCATCAATTTCCTCCTCCTGATCAGGTGGCCTATAGCAAACCCTTATTTTTAAAGTGTTAAATTAGTACATTTTTCTTATCAATTAGCCTGCTAATATTTTCACTTGAGTTTTAAAGAAAGCTAGATTATAAAGCACATCAATCTCCCTTCTCATCTGGGGCATGGTTCTTTCTTTTCCAAATGTTATAGTATTAGGGACTGAGGAAGCAATATGTTTTTACTGTCCAAAATACAATTTTGTACTGTAGATACAGACTAAGTTGAAATTCTAATAAATCAGCATTTGGTTTTCTTTTCTTTTGATTTAGGTTATTTTTTTATTTTTTTTTTTACAAGATGACGTGATATGCATGCAGACAACTAGAAGGATGTTTTTTTAGGTAAGAAATTACTCAATGTCAGGCAGTGCCTGTTTTTTTACTACACATACCCTCTCTCCTGTTTCTTCAAAGAAATGACTTTTCTGGGAAACAATTAGCACAAAATAATCTAATTTAGTGAGATTGCAGTGTATATGCACTATTTTATAGCACTGATTCTAAAGCAATTAGTTTTCTCTTTGCCTTTTATAACCTTTCACAATGCTTCAGATGTGCTTCACTCTATATTTGAATGTTCTGTAGAAATGGTGCAAACCCACAGAGACTTGCCTGAGGCTGTGGGAGTTCAAACCCTGGAGCCTGTCCTCACCAGCTGGCACCTTACTGCTGCATACATTCAGTTGCAGCTATAAGCATTAAGTACTAGTACTATTACAGATTTCTGAAGTAGAGCGCTAGGATATGAGAAACTGCTCTATTTGTGACCACTTCTCCCTTAACATTTTGACTCTTAACCTGTGGCTGTGACAGAAGTGAGTTCTTCTTCATGGTTGAGTGAATTGTGTTAACCACAGCAGCATCCTTTCTGTCTATCTATCCCCTAGGCTTCTTGCCAACATATTTCAAAATTTGTAAAACAATATAATAAATTTGACAGAGATCCTGCAACTTCTGAACCATACTGCCAGAGCATTACATGATATTACCTCAGTAGAACTAGGGAGCATCATGTGATACAACCTCAGTAAAAGTATGTGTTCTTCAGATAAATCAGAATGAAAAGAACCTGACAATGTGCCCAAGGGGATTATCATGTGCAAGAAATTGTTGTGGTAGAACCTGAGGACCACCCTCCCCTGCCCAGATTTAAGAAGACTGATTCCTACTGGACAAAGAAAGGAATTTTCTTCCCAAATTGGGTTGAAGGAAAATGGGGGAAACTTTTTGGCTGATGGTCAAACTCCAGAGGGTGGATTCTTCTTGGAGTCCCATCTCTCCATCTGGCTGTAGGGCCTGAAGCAGCCTCTGAAATACTCTTTAGAAGTTTCAAGTGCTCTAAGACTGTTTTTTTACCTGTGAGTCCCCAAGCTTCACATTCTGTCTTGAGCTTGTGAAAGTTGCAGCACTGAATCACATTAGACATCCCATAGAAAGTGACATTGCATCAGTCACTTGTTTATTCATTGGAATCCTAGTTTTCTGAAGAAATCATTGCAAGGGGAGAGATCAGGTCCTTGCTGTCTTACATTTTCAGTCATTTATAAAGTAGTATGCAGCATGTCCTCAAGTAGCTTTTTATTTTGTTTAACTTATGGGTGTATCTCTGAGAGGAAACACATGTTTCTCCTCATGGTCGAGTCCTGGAAGTTGCAGTTTAAATTTGATGAAGTGTTTTATTCCCCCAGATAAAAATAAATAAATAAAAAATTAGATTTAAATGCATTTGTTGATGAGGAAAGTCAGGAATCCTCCTAATTAAGACATTTCTTAGAAAGGTAAAATTTTTATCTGGGAACATAAAACACTTCATCAGTTTTAAAGCCACATCTGTAAAGACTCTATCAAGAGGAGAAACAGGCATTTTCCTTTATTCTGGCTTGTCTGTGTATTTAAGACTTTTAACAACAATTTTAAAAATATTTAAACCCAGTTAGAAACACTTGCAATATAATAGGGATAAGAGTGCCCTCCCTCCCTCTGTTTTTAATCTGGTTCTCTTGATGGAATAAACTACAAGGTTGAATTGGTAACTGGATTATTGCCTCATAAAACAGCATGAGGTTACTATTATCCTTTAATTTTATATCTTTATTAGGGAGTAATGTTGGTCTTATTTAAATCACTGACTTCTCTAATGGTTTTTCTCCTCTTTTACAAATTTATGAAACTAAACCCTAAAGGATTTGGTCTAAGTGCAGTTGGCATAACTGCCTTTGTAAAAATCTTTGTGTTAGCAGTTGGTTATAATCAGCTGCTTTAACTGGGCTCAGTATGTAGCAGGATTTAGCTGCTGATAGCTAGAATAATGCTTATAAAATATTAATTCTGAAGTTTTTATTTTAAAAAGCTGCATTTCCAGTAAGAGCATTAGAATTTTGATGCAGCATGAAGGTGAGCAACAGTGCCCTGTAAACTGTATAATGTATCATGTTCATGCAAAGGATATATTTAACACCTTGTGTGTTTCTGCTAAGATTAAAAAAAGCTTGTCTTTGCCTTGCAATTCAGTAAAGTAATGTTGAAAATTTTCGAAAGCTAGTCTTTTTTAGAAAGTGACTAATACGAGTGGCATATTTAATGATGCATTCCAGTGAATGCATCCACCCAAATTTTGGGACACAACACATACTGTGGGTGAGTCATTGACAGTCCTTAATAGGAAAACTGTTGGATTTGTGTCATCAGGATGTACTTAAAATATCAATACTTTATTTTTTAGGAAAAAATGTGGCATCCATCTGTTGATTTCAATGTGCTTTGGTTAAGGTCATGATCAATAAGGAAAGACGAGTATGGGTCTGTCTGGTATGGTATGGCTCTGTTGTTGAGTTATAGTTGAGTTTTACACAGGAAGTGAATGATCTGTCACCTTCATGGGCTGACTGATAGAATTGGAGAATATACTGTTTGAATGCAAGGCAGGTACTGACTTTTCAGTCAGTATACTTAGAAACTAGTCAAATAATTTGTTCTGAGTTTTGTATTTTTGCTGTTTATCTCTTCAGACAATCTTACCAGTGCAATAACATGCACATACTTCAAATTTTTTAATTAAATTAGAGCAGATTTTATATTTAAGTTATTGATGCATCATTTTAGTATTGCTTGTAAAAAGTCAACTCTGTGTTTGGAATTCTTCCTTTGACAGGGAATGCTGCAGGCAATGCCATGTAGAGCTGCTTTCTCTTGAAATACCCACTGTTCCTAGTAGGTTCCTTTCTGAAATTTGTCTGCAGTGGGTGTTTTAAAGAAGCCTTTCAATTCTCCTTTTGTCTTCATTGAACAAGGGCTGAAGAAGATTTTTACAAATATGAGTGTGGGCTCTACATTGATGAAAAAAAATATGGGAAGTGGTTACAAGTTTTGGTGAAGGCATCCCTCTGAAACTAAGAGGACGCTGAAGCCATTTTGAAAAACAGGAATTATTTTCAGCTCTATGATATGGTGAAATACACGCAACATGATTTGCTTACAGTTGGTATTTTCCTTATGTAACGTCATGGCAAAAATTAATGAAATCTGAATGAAAATAATTTAGAAACTTAGACGAGAGGGAAGACAGGAGGGTGTAGTTTGGGGACAGGAAAAGTCCAGGTGAAACTGAAAGGAAAGTAGTTTGGGTGTGTGCATTTGTGTGTGTTCTAGAAAATATCTGATGCAAAAACAGTGACTTTCTGAGAGTCATGTTTTGGGGAGTAAAAGGAGGTATGGCACATAAGTAGCACTTGGGATTAAGAGAGGAGGTATTCACAGAGCAGTGCAGGACAGTGAGGGAGAATATATGTAGGTGCTATGGCTTGTTTCACATATGTTCCAGAGCTCTGGTTCCTTTCAAATGTTATGTATGTGCCAATAGAGCTGTACTTTGTTTAACCTCAGAAAAATAATGGTTGCATTTATGCAGGGCAGAGGTAGCATGACGAATAAGTGCTTGCTGGTCAGAATATTGCAGAGATCCATAATATGTTTATATTATTGGGCATACTCCCAGGTAATGGTATCTTGTGTGCCTTTTTGATAAACAAATCCATGTAATGTTGATAAGGAAATCCAGGATGTTTGGGTTCCTTAATGTATGTGTTTACATACATTTTTGTTTTATTTTTTTTTGTTTTTTTAATGTAACATTAGCTTTGATTGGTAATATAATGGTTATTGCATATATAAAATATCCCTGGCAGTTTTCTTTTTTTGTTCTAAATTATGCAAATTTGCATAACTCCAAAATGGACCTTTTCTGAGACTGGAGATCGTAATGTAATTGTGGGCTTTATAGTTAAGGTTAACCTAATGATACATGAGCAGAACTCGTAGAATTTCCTACTGAAGATCTCACTATTTGATGAGAGTGACTCACCCTATTAGAGGTCATAGATGTAGCAGATAATTAGGGTAATTTCTGTCATTTAGCACTTTGTAGGGAGCTGCTTGTTATAAACCACTTTGTGTATTTTATTTAATCCTAAAGGAATTTAATGAACCTCAGAGAGGGGATTTTATGCTGGTGATTGCATAATAACTTTTTTTCCTGCCAGACACTTAATGACTAAGAGGTTATCATTAAATGTATTAAGCACTTCTGTTCTGTAACTGTCTTTCTAATATGTTCTCCCAAGGGTTATAATTTATTGTCTACCTAAACAGCTGCCTGTATTCAACATTTTGGTTTGTTGGTTTGTTTTCATAACTTATTTTTTGTCTTGCAGAAGTCAAAGAAAACTTCCTGTTTCTGTTCATGTATTTTAGATAATTCCCAAACTAATACTGAAGGTGTTGAAGCACTTTACATGAAATTAGTCTTCGTATAAATTAATGAGAACTTTGCTGAAGATTTTAGTGAAACCACAAACTCAGTTAGGGTGTTTGTTTATTGCAGATTTGCCTTAGAGGTGAGGACCATAGACTAACATGTCAATTTTTTATCTTCTTTTTAATTTAGACTATTGAGCTGTAAATTAAAGGGAAGATAATTTCTGCTCGTGGAGGAAAAGAAACGTGAATAACCTCAATGGAAGACTCTCAGGATCTAAGTGAACAGTCAGTGAGTACAAATGTTGATAAACATGGAGGGAATGGAATAAGTTGAACTATGTACAAGTTGTGTGAAGAGAGGGATTTGAAAATGATAGTATGATCTTGAGAAAGGTTCTGATCTTCTAGTTTAAAACCTTCTCTTAGTTCATACATTAAATAAGTGGTTTTAATGGTTTTTTTCCTGTTGAAAGGTACAAGATTATTGCTATATAGGATTTTGCAGAACTAGAATTGTTGGAGGGATATAATTAAGGTACAGTGAAAGAATAAAATGTTATGAACTTGCACAGTGGTATGCCTTGTTTGAATAATTGCATTAAAATGTATATCCATAGTGATCTGTCAGTTTTGCCAAAGCACGAGTTACCGAAATCACAAACGATATTTCAGATGGTCAGACTGTGGCCGATGACATACACTGATTGCTTCAGGATTCTCTTGGATTTCAAGGGAATTGTGAGAATTGGCAGTGTTTCATGTCAGAGAGAGATTCCCCCTTGTCACTGATGACAGATCTGTTAGAAATGGGGTGGATATTTCTTCTCCTTTTTCCTTTCTTATTTCTCCTTTCCTTTAAGGATGTGGTCTCCAGACTTCCTTACCACCAGACTGCATTTCTTAGGAGACAGTAGGCTCTGAGCAAATTTAAAGTTATCTCGTCTTGCCATCCGAAGTATTGGTTTTGTTTTTAGTATCTTAATTTCTTAATGTTTCTTACTGGTCACAGTAGGGGCACATTTTGGAAGTTCCATGATCCCTACAAGTCTCAGCTTGGGCTTAATGTACTAAAGATCAACAAAGGAATTTCGAATTTCTATTTCTGACATGCTGAAAGAAGTTATCCATGTAATAAACTAGTTTTAATATATATTTTTTATAGCAGAGACTTTTATGGGTAACACAAGTTCAAGGAAGTGGGAAGAGCTGCAGGTATTTTTAAAATGCCAGTAATTATCTTTAATAAGGAGTACTTAGCTCCTAACTGGGTGGCTCCTATCTGAGACTTTATCTTGGACTAGAGTTTTATTGCAGATTTTAAGTGGTACAGAACTGGAAAGTCTTAACAGTGTCTTAAGTCCCCACGGTGGTACTACTTGGGTCAGCTGCACCTATTTAAAGTGTTTTAGAGCATGTAAAAGCTACATGGCTTCATAATTTAATAAAGTTTTATAAAGGTCATAAAAGATTAGGCAGAAGTTCATGTCTTGCAGTCTGTGAAACAATTGTTCTGTGGAGTTATTAATAGGAAGTAGATGAGCCAGTTTAGCTTAGTGCAGAAATGTCTTTTCTAGTAGTTTAAATGTTTTTGCAGCACTGGATGCCTGATAAATGCATATTTTAGTAGCTATTTTACTACCTAGTCATAGTATAATTTCCGTAGTATTTCTCATAATTACTACATATCTTTATGTTAATAACATGGAAACAGTCTTGTGGGTTACAAGCTGAGGCGAAATCTGTGCTGTGTTGTGTATGGAGCCAGGATTTTCTGGCTTTATACTATTGTTAGTGTCACAGAAAACTGTGATTCAAGACAAGTTTATTCTTCTTACTCTTCACTAACAGTGGCAGAACTTCAGGGTAATGGGTGGGAGAGCCACTTCATCACTCCCTTCTTCCAGGTGTGCACTGAGACTTAAGATCTCACCAAGATGTTGGGCGCTGTTCTGAGAGAAGGAATTGTGCTGTGAGGCCCATCTGCCTAGAGCAGGCATTGACCCTTCATTTCCCGACTTCAAAAGCTGTTTCACTGTTACATAATGGTTAAACTACTCTTGCAGCCAATTTTTAAAAGAGAAAATAGCGTTTCTGGCTTAGTTCCTTAAAAGCCACAGGACTAGAGATCCCAGGTAGAAGGGGGCATTCTCAAGATAAGGCTTTGGGGGTTTAGGCTCTAGGAAGGTATCAGATGTAAATCCGTCAACTCTTCTGCTTGTGCTGTAGCTGTAGTGTTTTGTATTGCTTAATGGTTACTGAGTAGCTCTAGGCAGTTTGTGTTTATCAGGCAGGATTTCTGGTTCTTGAAATGTTCAGGAAGGATAAGTACTTCATTTCAGCTTCAAGATTCCTCTTAGGGAACTAAGTTCGTAAGATTTAGATAATGAAAATTCAGGGAGCATAAGGATGTAGTGTATTAGATTGTGTGAATAAGCATGAATGTAAGATCTGTGCTCAAACTTGTGCTGGCACCTTGCCTTGAATAGTCTAGTCCATGGTTACTTGAAAGACTGTCTTTCTCTGCAACTGGGATAGGCGAGGAGGTATTTGCTGTTGGATGGTATGTTTGATGGACAGTTGAGGATTTTTGAATAGAGATATACTTTATTGAATTCATTTCCCTGGGCATTCTGTTAAAGAGTCTTTCACCCTTGGGAGAGGAGGCCAGTGAACAAGGTTAATTTTCAAGTGTTATTTTAAAAAAAGGAAATTATGCTAATTTCTGCAAGTATATCATCCTCCTGCAGCATGATATACTGTAGCGTTGCTTTTATTCTGACAGACTTATCCATAAGTTTGAGTTCACTATTATTATTTTAATGCAAGTTTTTGGTGTTTACTCTGTCTTTAAAAATGCACTAATAGGAAATGATTTGTTCTATGATTCCTGTCCTGAAAGTATATCCCAGCATCCCTTCAGCTATATGAGAAATAAACTCTTACCCTTTTTTCTCAGAGCAATGAGTGGATGACCACATGTTGCTTCAGAAATCTAAGTGCACCCATGTTCTCTGAGCTTCTAAAGAACTGTTTTTGACTGAATTGAGCAGCTGCTGTTTTCTGAGATGCCAGCTTGATTAGATGTATTATATATACCACTTAACGCATTATGTCATTAATTTATTTATTTTTCCTATTTTTGTTTCTGATAAATTCCTTGCCTCTGCTGTGTTTTAAGTTGTTATGCTTCTGGCTGACCAGAAGTCAGTCTAGTTGCCTAATTGTACTGTAGGTCCTTTATACCCAGAAACCTCATATTCTCCCTTTGCTTTGCCTTTTCTCCTTTTCTCATGTGGCAGCGGTGGGAGAATCAAGCCTTAAAGTAGCTCGTACACTGACAAAAAGATTCAGAATCAGAGTAGAGTTTGTTAAATTTTGGTTTTCCTGTCTTTACTCACAACTGCATAGGTAAATAGCACTTTTTTGAAGATCAGTGAGAAAATAATTCAAGCTACTAGCTGACACAGGGGAGAGATGGGATCTTTCAGGTGCAGCTGAGATCCAGAGGATCCCTGAGGTTGGCATGGAGTGGTCTGGGTTGTACGATCGTGGCACTGTACTTCTGGAGTGGGTCTGTGTCCTAAAATCTCACAACTCCTTTCTTTCCAGTTCAGATGCAGAATATGCTTGTACAACCATGCATAAGAAGGAAATTTTTTCACTGATAGGAAGGCTCAGTTTATAGTATTCATAATGAAAAAGAAAAACAAAAAAACCAGTAAGACAGGTATTTCACAGACAGAAGAAAATATCCAAATGGTCCTCTTCATATTCTGGGGAGAGATCTGTTACTAAGTGCAGGCTGCTATTTAGCAAGTAAAAGAATACTTAAAATCACATATATTTGTTCTATGTGGACAGATGTAGGTAGGTAAAAACATAATTTTAAGAACTGTGTTTGCCATAGACTTTGTGCACACTAAATTAAAAAAAATGTAGAAGATGCAATAAAATATATCAGATTTTATTTTACTATTGTTACTTCCTTCAAAAAACCCCTGATTTTTTCTAAATGCTAACTAGAAGTACTTTTTTATCAAAAGATGCATGTTAAAAGTTCTTCTATTTAGTTTTGAAATTGGAGAGAAGGAAATTTTGCAGATCTTGTATTTATGAACCATCTAGCAATAGGGAAACAATTTTTTTAAGAAAAAACAATCTTTTTAAGACTGGTCTTGGAGATGGCTAATAAAATGGTAAATGTTTAGCACCCAGATAGTCCTCTGATGTGCCTTGGTATAGCAAACACACATAGGATTTTGAGAACTACAGTTTTACACTTTTATTTTGTTCTCTTCTAGTCATCACTTGCTGTTCAGTCTCTTAGTAGAAGAAAAAGAATTTGGCTGCTAACTTGCTAGTTTAGGGTTTCAAAGGGCCTTATTAGAAACTGGTGTAATTTCATCCCCTGGCCCTTTTATATAACAGCATGCATATTTAGATTACTTCATTTTAACCTAGAATTAAACAATAGATTGCAGTGCTGTAGGACAGGACACTAGCAGATGTGAGGCTAAACCTGAATGAACAGGTTTTCATTTTTGTGACGTTTGGACAATCATCCCTATTGTGCCCTGGGTAAGTTATTTGTTTTTTATCAGATTATGCAGACTGTTATATCTGTTACTTGCATTTATGGCCCATTTGGAGCTGGACAATCCGTGGCAACCTTTTCAGACAGTGTTTGCCCATTTTTGTTTTGTTTTAATGTGTGAAGCTGTCAGATGTGATCCCTTTGCAGATCACTTTTCAGCTGTAGCTACTTCTCTGTCACACAAGTGCTGTACTTGCAGCATTTAATCTTACCCCTGTCCGGGGTGGGCAGCCTGCTTGCACCCAGGAACTTCAGCTGATGCTCATTTTGATAAGATGAAAATTAGTTTAAACTTTTTAACTGAGTTAAAATGGTCTTTTTAACTGTTCTGTATCACAGCATAGCATGTTACGGTTCTTATGTCTGTGATATCAATATTTGTAAGACTTGGAATATTACAGACCGTTCAACTTGTCATATTGGTTGAAAGAGATCTCTGGAAGTTAACTAGCATAGCTTCTGACGTGCTGGCAGTATGCACAAATATTTTACTTATAAAAGCAAAGAACTGTATCAGTAATACTAGTAAGTGGAGAAATTAAGGGTTTAATAAGCAAAAAAAGAAAAAAATAAAAGTTTCCTTAACAAACGATTCCTTGCTTTTAATTAGAATCAATCATTGAAGAAAAATTCTGTAACTTGAAGTCAGCTGTAATAGAAAACCAGCATGTCTTTTCAAAGGTGTATTTCAGAGC